GTAGGGCTAACGTGGCCGAAGAGATAAGATGGCCGCGAAGGTGACACGTGACACCCGAGGCCAGCTCCACCATAACCTAAACAAATATGACTATAAATTATAGGCTACGAGCAGGGGCAAAAATAGTTTGGCCTTCTAAATCAGTTTTTAAAACATTATATTAAAACAGAAAAGAACAACAAAAAGGGATAAGAACGGTTGTTGCAGATATGCTTCCTTGCATTATTCATTTGCTTGCTTATACATAAGCCATTATGATATAAAATTAAGAATGAGAAAGAATTATTCAATGATGGAGCCAAAAAAGAATGTTCAATGGGATGAGATTTGAATACTAAGTATTTCCATTTGTCAAAGTATTCCTTTGAAGGAAGCTAACCTTGGTCTCTTCATTCCGAAACTCCATTTTCAGGCCCATAAATAGGCAGTTGTTAGGCGCGGACCGCCCGGCGAGAAGGGGGTAGATTAAACATTAATTAAGCATGGTTGAAATGCGTTACATATTTGCTCTTGTTAATTAATGAAATAAAAGACTAGACACTATCCAATGATCTCAATTATCGTTTGGATTAAGTTTTCGTTTATATATTAATTAAGATGTTTATAATATTAATGCAGCTATTCTTCTATTTTTTAAAAATGTCAACTGTTGTTCTTGGACCGATTGAAGATTTGTTTTCATTACAAAATTAATCATAGTTTTCTTGGAAGAAAGAGAAGAATAGACAAATCGCCGGTGATTAATTAGCATCTTTCCAATTGATTAATTACTAATTGCACTAACTTGCTTGTTTAGAAGCATTTGAAAATGTAGCATGTTAAGCCTTTTTTTTTTTTTTTCTTTGAACCGGTACTTGTTCCTCACAAATTGCGCCTCACACCAATCTCACATCTCTTTCAGCCATGTATTGAGAAAATCTCCTGTACTTGATTTTCTCATTCATAGGAAGTTATTTTCAATACAAGGCTGTGATATACTGTGACGTTGGTGTGAGGCCATTCTCTGTGAGGAGCAAATTTGATTTCTTTTCCCTTGAGGAGGTGTTTGCACAATGATATTGCATTGCCGTTACGTTTTGAGTTCGACATAAATTTGTGTGAGATTTTTTTTTTTATTTGAAATGGTTTGAAAATATTTTTATCTAAAACGTGAAATTTGATATTTCTCACACACACATATTTTTAATTGAAATGACACATACATGATGTGTCAATACATGTTTACACCACTGTACCAAATACCCATACCCATAGGCTCAGTTTGAAAGGAGTATAAATATAAATATTTAGAATGCAAAACTTTTATATTTTGTATTATTTTATTCGTATTTGTATTGTGCATATTTATTTTATTTGTACTCCATCCAAACTGAGCCATAAGAAAAAATTTTAAATAGTTGAATCCCTACAACGATGAAGGTCCAACCAGTCAATCGGAATTTTTTCAAAGTTTGAGCCGACAAACCTCCGACCTTGTTTTCATGGAGACAAGGTCTAGGGCCCTTTAAGCTTTCTTTTGGCGATTATTACAAAAAGACAATAATTAGGATGGAAGGTTCAATGAACCAAACTCATAAATTTGGGCATACGAACAACCTATCAACCACATTTGAAAGATACTAAACAATATTAAGGAGATGAAACTATAAAAGTTTCATTAATCCATGGGCAGACTTTAACTTCCGTATTATAAATGTCAGTTGCACCTGTGTGTAGTAGCCCTTAGGGGTTGTTCATTATATGGTTCAAACCGCAAAATCGAATTTATGGTTTGGTTCAATTTATACCTATAAATGATTTGGTTCGGTTTGAGAATTTTCTGAATTGTGGTTTACGGTTTCAGTTTGGTTTATTGAATTTTATAAATCGGATTAAACCATAAATTGTAAATCAAAATTATATATATATATATATATATATATATGAATATATGATATATAAACATTATATATAATATATCTAAATAGAATGCGTAAAATTATAAATATGCAATGAACTCTTTATTTTATAATAAAATAATAAATAAAAGTTTTAGGTTTTAATTTTTAGGGGAACTATTTGAGCTATCTAATTGGCTTAAGCCCAAATTCTCTAAACCGCACCAAACCGGACCATGAACCCCCATAATTCCCTTTTATATTTTCTCATTACAAAGAAATATTAAAAAAAATAAGTAAAAAATGAGGGAAGAATAAGATATCGATACAACACATTTCATATCTGCAGCGAACTCAAATATGTTTAAATAATATAAAAATATTTTAAAACTTTTAACACATTTTATAGATAGACACCAACTCTCTAATGATTATTAAATAAAAAGCTCAAAAAATTACAAGAGGTGAATAGCGGTTGGGGAAGAGTGAAGACTAGGGCAATACAAAGTCACAAAGCTATTAGATTGGCTTTTGATCATTTTTTTTTTTTAATTTGCTGTCATACAAATCCATAATTCCAAAAAGAACCATGAAAACGCCCATATTTACTATGTTTTCATTCTATTTTTGAGGCCATTGAATGTCGCTTCAAGGCTCAAATAAATAAGTTTCTTCTCTTCTTTGTTTTTTTTTTTTTTATCTTTTAGAGCGACAATTTCTTTCAAGACACGGCCACACGGTAAGCAAGAGATGATCGTGACTGTTGCTAAAGGAGAAATTGGAAGTTCCATTCGCCAAGTTTGATGTTAGCGTGTACACAATATGACTGTTTTGTCCTTGTTGGCACTAAAGGACAACCAATTTGGCAAGTGAGTGCAGCTTCGCTTTACATATGATTAAAAAAATTTAATAAATAAAAAGGATTGCGGGACTAAGTATTTAAGGCTGAGGGACCTTATTCCACTGAGCTTCAAAAAGTTGACCTGGAAAGGGTTGGGATTTGGAAGATACCAAATTTTCATGCAGCTAAAGAGAGCGTCAAGCTTTCACTGCAATATTGTTTGAGACTTTTGGAAGGATTATAAATACAAATATCCAGAGTGTAAAATTTTGTATTTTATAAGGTTTTTAAAACTGAATCAGACAACGAATTGGTCAGGGGTTTGATTCTTGGGTTAAATGGTTTGATGGTTCGAATTGAAGGGACAGTCTGTTCTGGTAAAAAATGGTCAAAACTATTGAACGGTTTGATCAATTCGATTACCGGGGTTAATGATTTGCTAACCAAATCAACGGTTTTTAATGAAATAATAGTTCTAGGGTAAAATGGAACCGGTCAGATTTTTCCGGTCTGACCATCTAATCTGATCCGGTTTTGAAAACCATGGTATTTTATATGAATTTATAATGTACATATTTGGAAGTACCGTTGAAGCAAACATGTGACCTCAATGAAATATGAATACGTCAGTGTTTTAAGCCAAACACCATTTGATGTGATGTTTTTCTTCTTTCAAAGACTGATGTGTTTGCATCATGGTTTTTAAAAACGAACCGGTGACTGAACCAGTCAGGGGTCCGTTTACTGGTTTGAACGGTCCAACCGTTCAACCCGAATGGCCAGCCCGTTTTGATAAAAAAATTAAAAATTTGGAAAATGGTCAAAACCGTTTGAACGATTCAAATAGTTTGAACGATTAATCGTCTGGTTCAACGGTTTTCTGACCAAAATCAATAATTTTAAGGGAAAAAGCGGATTTAGAGGAAAACAGAACCAGTCAAGTAACCGGTTCCTGATTTTCCAGTCTGACCGTCCGGTCCGGTCCGATTTTGAAAACAGTGGTTTGCATTATCCCTCACTGCACTGTCGTGTAACCGTGATTGGCTTGATTAATTGCTTCTGGATCTCCTAATCCAACTCATTACAAACTTAACCAGATCTCTGATTATTATAAGAATTTTCTATCTTCATCCATGTGGCGAATGAATAAGCTAATGATCACTAAACCCAGTAAATTAAACATCCCCATCCCCAGTTACTGGGCGAATTTCCTTTCGCCTAGGGTGTTTGAAATTTGAATAGAAATTCATTGAACCAAGTTCATTGCTGGTGAACCATATTTCTATTCTCGCTAAGGATTACTATAAACACCATATTCCATTCTCATGTTCTGTGCCTTTTGACTTAATTATTTCAACTTCAACCACATTTATTAATAGAGTAAAGAAATTGGCAAAGATTCCTCTCCTTAAATTTTCACATGCCTGTGGATGTCATTTGCATGATCACTGGGTTTTTAGTTCTTGAAAAGAGGAGTGTGACTTGCCAGTTGGCAATCATTCCAACAGCATAAGCCTAATGTATGAAATGCAATCTCCTTTATGTGGGAAAACTTTGACTGTTTGGGTGCTTCCTCTGCAGTAATTCTTTGCTTTGTCTTTTTTGGCTAAAAGAAATATTGGTTACAAATATTCTTTTACACTCACCCATGATAACCTCTAAGTAGTCCAGTTAGGTTTTTTTCCACCATGACCCTTTATGCTCAGTTTAGAAAGAGTACAAATACAAATATGTAGAAGGCTAAACCTTGTATTTTGTATGTATTTGCAATGTATATATTTTGTATTTGTATTCTTTCAAACCTTATATATTCATATTTGGACTCTTCCCAAACGAAGCCTTAATATATTCCCTTCTTAATTTAGTTTAGCAGGTGACTGAATAAAGTGTAATTTTGCACTAACACTTCACACGGACACTTAAAAGGCAAAGGCTGAAAACATAAATCCTTTCCTTCCTTCCACGGAAGTCTTATTCCCATTCTCATTATGTTGAGGGAAACAGGAAAAATTAAAAGAGGTCACAGGGATGGAGCTATTTTCTAATAAAAGTTTAACCTAATCCCTTGTTTTTAATTCTAATTCTATGTCCTTTCTAGGCAAGCGATCGACTGTGATTGAATTGTTTTATCTTCATTATTATGAAATTAGCACGAGATATTGCAGCTTACATTTAACCATCGAGAAATTGAAGAGAGAGAGAGAGAGAGAGTTACATTTAACCAATGAAACTGTTCTGTGAAAATCCGGATTGTCTGAATACGTCTGGAAGAAGTCTCGTTAATTTCATGACCTCCCCACTCCTCATCATTCCACCCCTCCACATTGTCTCTCTGTCTATTTCAATAAATCCATATCACACCACCCACGAGAACTCTTGTTTGGTTGTTCCCCTCGTTTCCTCTCTCTCTCTCTCCCCTGTGAAAAAGAAGATATGGGTTTCTCGATGACAGAAGGAATTATTTTCGCTTTAATTCTGGTGGGTTTAGAAATCCAAAGCTGTTGTTCACAGGTTACCCAGATTAACAGGGGAAGCTTTCCAAAGGGTTTCGTTTTTGGCACTGCTTCTTCCTCATACCAGGTAAGTAACATCTGTTCATCATCAGCTGCTCTTCCTCTTCTCTCACTTTCGTTTGTTTGAAACATCCTCATGATCTTCTTATTCATTTACATTTATGTCATTCCTTCACTCGTTCTTTATGACCTGTTGATAATTGACTACTTTAGATATGTACCCGAAACGATCCTACAATGTATTTCTGGTTCTGAAAAGTTTTCAGGAGAAATCATTTCTGAAAAAAAAAAAAAAAGAAAAAAAGAAATTTTCATTCCTTCAAGGAAGGAATCATTCGTTCAAGGGAGTTATCCATGATCATGAACTTCACATGATAATTAGTGATGACATGATGTAACAGACTAACTGTATTTTTCATCGGCGCGCGATCGATCGATGGACCTCTTCTTCCATGAAGAAGCTAAAAGTGAACTCGATCGTTACGAAATTTCAAGAAGGAAATTTTCAAACTGGGTAACCTGGAGAAACCGTTCAGGCTTGGGACTCATATTTCTGTTTTTTTTTTCATCATTTTTTCTATCAAAGCAAGACAAACCGATCCTGGTCCCATTTCCTTTCCTTCTATCTATTAGAGCAATCCATCTCTCTCTCTCTCTCTCATCCAGATGCTTTTTTTAATTTCTACCATGAATTACAGGTTCCCAACCATTAGGTCATGGTTAGAAAGCCATTCAAGGATGAGAAATGTTCTGAATCGTAGGATAAAATTCATAGGACGTACTCTTTTGTGTCTAAGATGATTTACTCTATTACGAGATGACTAGATTTTATTTAATAGATTCTAAGGTTGTGTTTGGTTTATACAGGTTTCCCTACTACTTCTCTCTTTCTTTTACCATCTTTTCTTTCAAACCAAACACAGCCTATCACTAGTTTTCTTCTGTCCCCTTCTTAATTACAACCGGACTTTCTGTTTCTGGCTAAATTTTGGGTATGGTAGGACCCATAACTTTGCCACCTGTACCGTGTCTTGGAAGATTGGCATCCACCACTAGTTGGACCAAAAATCAGCTTTCATGAATCCAATTAATTTTTTATTGTATTTTAGTTGGATGCTGGTGAAAAGTTGTGGTATTGTGGTAAATCAAATCGCATTAATTAACCCATTATGGTGAACTTTTACGTTAAGGTAACCATGATTGGGGGGCCATTCAATGATCAGCTCCCGTCCTTTTTAATGCACGAAGAAATAATTGGGAACGTATGGGCCTCAGGGCCAAGACCCATCTACAGGTCCGTCTAGGGCCCAAGACACTCCTTCCCTACGGCCTACAGACGTCAAAACTCAAAAGATGGTCGTCCAAGACATTCCTTACTCAGTTACTCCATAATCCTTACTGCTGATCAGATTTCATTTCGGGTCAGACCCGATTACTCTCGACCCGATCTAGAAAACGCCTTGTCTCTGACATTAATTCCCATTAGTGAAACCCGAAACAAAACCGGGCTTGATCGATTCTACAGGCTTATGTAGATCTCTATGGTAAGAAAGCAAGAAAGTAAACTTAATCCATGAAAATCTCTCTTGTTACGTTTTGTATAGTAAAATTAAAAGGTTTACTAATCAGGTCAAGTGAGATCCGGAAAATATATTAAAATGAAAGATACGAGATATAGATAATAATAGACCCCTTCTATGTATGAATCTTGTTTGTTTGTTTGTTTTTACTGATTCCTGATATCATTGTTCTGACATTCATCTCTAAATTTTATTTATTTGCCCTTTTTCAATTTATTCAGTTCGAAGGAGCCGTGAAAGAGGACGGAAGGGGGAAAACCGTGTGGGACACTTATGCCCATAAATTCGGTATCATAGTCGAACCCGTTCTATTTAACTTTTAAGGAAAATCAATCACAACCACCCTGAATTTGATGAAAATCCATCTGAGTGATTGGTTAGTATTTATAGTTGATTGGTTGTAAGTTCTTCCCTATCATGTTTATTGTGCACTGCTTTTAATTTAGGGTTCGATTATGATGCTGGAAAGACATGATACTTTATCATGAAAAAATTATAACCAATCAACCAGCATCGTAAAAATAGTAGCTAATCAAGTGGGTTTTCATTAAAATTCATAGATGATTGTGACTAGTCAGTGCCTTTCTGGTATTGCTCTAATGATGGACTGTTCGATAACATGGTTGATTTTGTTTTAAAAGCAAAAACAATTGCCATATCAAAAAATAATAATATAATGTTGTTGATGTGACAAATGTTTTTGTTTTCAAAAACAAAAACACTCCCTTTTTGTTTTAGATTTTATTCTACAATTTCTAATGGGATTATAGCGGATAAGGGCAACTTTTGGGCCCTAATATCAATAAAATAATACTTTTAATATAATTTCTAAAATATGTTAACTTTTTAAAAAATATATCAAATAAAGGAAAAAAGCATTATTCATCTTCTTCCTCTTCCAAATCAGTTCCGCCCCAACCCAGTCCTACAAACCTCAATGACCACCGTCCTCCAACGCCCACCTCATGTTGTCTGATTGGTGTTGTCAGAGGTGGGTGGACGTGGAGGCAGCACTGGTGGATGGTAGTCATTGAGATTCGCAGAGGCGTTGCCGGAGGTTAACAGAAGTGGCAAAGGGCATCGATTCTGATGGATGGTTTATAGGAGGAAGAAGATAAACAGTGTTTTTGCCTTTATTTAATATATTTTTTAAAAAAGTTAACATATTTTAGAAATTATATTAAAAGTATTTTTTTTATTGATATTAGGGCCCAAAAGTTGCTCTTATCAGCTACACTCTCATTTATAATATGCACTACAAATAAACCAAACAAACTAATACCTAAAAAAAAAGTGGACTAAATTGAAATTTCTACTCAATTCATTTGCACTACCATTATTTTATACGAAGTGCAAATAGAATTGCACACTAAACATAGAGACTTCACATTGATCTTTATTTATTTGGAACATCGTCAAACTAAACCCTTTCTTTTGGTAGTGTTACTAGTGAATCCAGATCTGCTCTTCATAAATTGCTTTTCACACCAATCTCACTACACATCCCAAACATACATTGGAAACATCTCCCATACTTGTATGTTGTTATTCATGGGAGATGTTCCTACTTCTTAATGCACGACAGGATTTGTTGTGAGGTCAATGTGAGGAGCAAATCTCAATTGGCCACTAATAGGTTGAAGAATAACATTAAGGCTGTGTTTAGTTGCAACGCAATTTTGTTTGTACTAATACAAATGCATTGGAATGCAAAGGAAAAAATATAAATTCTCGTTTAATCTTACTTTGGGTTTTATTTTATTCTGCTTCATGTATTAATTTACTTCATTTGTACTGCAATCAAAAAAATAAGCTAAATTTTGAAATAAAAATAGGCTAAAATTTACACTAGACTTATTTGCACTGTCATAATTTTGCATCAGTGCAAATTCATTTGTATTGCAACCAAACGCAACCTAAGGCTCAGTTTGGAAGGAGTACAAATACAAATATGTATAATGCAAATGCATACAAAATAATACAAATTACATGGATTTACACTCTATACATTTGTATTTGTACTCTATCCAAACTGATGAACTTAATGTCCTCCAATCAATGTCTTTCGCCCTTTTGACGTAATTTGGAAAAAAGTACATATGTAGAGTGCAAAACCTTGTATATTTTGTAATATTTTGAATGTATTTGCATTGGACATGTTTGTATCTGTATGCTTTTCAAACTGAGGCCTTTGGTTTTAGTATCAAATCAATGCAATAACAATGTTATTTGGATGATTAATTAACCAACTTTTACATTCTATGCGCATCAAAGAGTAGATCATGGTGTAGCGGGCATGATGAGATTGTTTCACTTTGATATATATCCAACGTTAACTTGTTTGTGCAGGTAAGGTAGTTGATTTTAGCAATGCTGATGTTGCAGTTGATCAGTACCACCGCTATAACGTGAGCCACTTTCTCTTGTTAACTCTACTTCTTAAAAGGGAAATATGACAAGGAAACTCCATTAGTAAGCACACTACGTGTGGGCATTTTCGTCAATGCATGTGTGAAAAGGACAATGCCTTAGGGATATTTTGGTCAATAAAAATTTTCTGTTGAACTGAATGACCCATCACTTCCTATAAAATAACTAAACAGTAAAATATTCGAGAATCTAGTAATGAACCCTACTTCAGTACCATTTTATCCTAAAATCACTTTTTGGTCAAAAACAGTTTATTTATTCGGTGAATCGTTGATCCAGGTGGTCAAACAATCAAATCAGACAATTGTTTTTGATCTTTTTTTATTTTTTTGTTAGAGTGGATTATCTGTTCGGATCAAACATTCGTATCATTCGACCCAGGAATTGGACCCTAGAATGATTCCTTATCCGGTTCAGTTTTAAAAACTGTCTTAGACCACGCCTCGAAATCCTTGCTTTAATTTTTTAAAAACCTTTTTTGATGTTTTCTCATTTTTTTTACTATTGCTAGTAACAATACACTGACATAGTATTGAAAAAATGCCTATATGGCAGTAATGGTACCAAATAGAAAAAACAAAAGGAAAAAAGAAAAATAAAATATTTTCTGAAAAAACAGCATACCAATGCAGCACTGTTTTTTCAGCCAAAAAAGAAAACCTCAGGAAATAATGGCATTGGTTCCAAACACCGCATAAGAGACTGTTGCATAAAAATTCAAGATGTTGAACTGAAAATCTAATCATATGTCATTTAGTGAATAAGATTTAAAGGAGGTTGTGGGTAATGGGTAGATCACTCACTATATCCTCCAAAATTGTATCATTTGACTATTTTAACAACTAAAAAACAATCAATAAATCTATCAGTTCAACAACTTCAGTCATTATCAAATGGCTCCTAAAGAATAAACTATAAAGCAAAAATCGTTTAGCTCAGCCACTTAAGTTACTACAAAAGGGCCCCTTAGTGTGTGTATATGATCCGATTGCTAGAGTAACACCACTCAAGTTTCTATTAGCATTCCTCATCTAAGCTTAATCACTTGATGGTGATTAAGGTTTGAAGGGGAAATTAGTTGGGGATCGAAGATGGAAATGGTCAAACCCCTTGCAAGAGGTACACTGTATATCCTCCGGAAAGGGATCATTGGAAAAATTCAAATATGTATCATGTTATATGTCTGCAATACATTAATGCTTATGATCAGTTTGCAATGTAAAATTGGGTGTAGGAAGATATAGTACTTATGAAAGACATGGGAACGGATGCCTACCGATTTTCTATCGCCTGGTCTCGGATTTTTCCTGGTATGTTATCATAACCTACTTAAAACTGTTTTTTTGGGGAAAACTTGGTCAACGGGATTTTAATTTTTATTGACCAAGAATTATATATTCTTTTTTCAGATTTATGTGGAGATTAGAAAAAGTTTATTTTCTTAGGTATTATTTACTTGGATAGGTGGATAAGTGATACCTATCTCTTAGGTGGGTAAATAACTTTCCCACCTAGGAGGAAAATTGCCAAAACTTGAATGGGACAAAATGTCTCTTTTAATAATGGATTTTTATGGCTAAAATGATCATTGCCTTATTTACATGAGAAATAAAAGAACATTAATAAATGCATAAGTTTTTCTCCAGATAACTGTATTCACCCGAATAAATAACTTACCTAACAGCGAACATGGCCTTAATAACCTACTACTTTCTGAGTTCTAAATATATATTTATGTTTCTTGTTTGGTATCATAGACGGGAGTGGAGAAATAAATCAGGCCGGTATCGACCATTACGACAAACTCATCGACGCCTTACTAGCCCAAGGTATGTGCCATTCAAATTCAATAAAAATAGCATCGATCGATAACTCAACCAGCATTGTTCCGATAATCTCATCAGACATTCAAAATTGTTAAAATGTGCAGGAATCGAACCATACGTAACGCTGTATCACTGGGACCTTCCCCAAGCCCTGGCAGACAAATACAACGGATGGCTGGATCCCCAGATAATGTAAATAAAATTTTTCATTTTCGGTTGATGTTCGTTAATTAGTTCAACTTCAATCGGAATGACCGACCAAATTAACCAATCTTCAATCTTTCACAGTAAGGACTTTGCGGTATACGCAGAGACGTGCTTTCAGAATTTCGGGGACCGGGTGAAGCACTGGATTACATTCAATGAACCTCACACGTTTGCCATCCAAGGGTACGATGTGGGTCTCCATGCACCGGGGCGATGCTCCGTCCTCCTTCACCTCTTCTGCCCCGCCGGAAACTCCGCAACCGAACCTTACATAGTCGGACACAACGTTCTCCTTTCTCATGCAACCGTAGCTCAAATTTACCGGAAAAAATACAAGGTATTAATGCATTGGACTAGACGTCCATGCCTTAACTAGCACCAAGGTTCAAAATTTTGATCGGATATATCGTATCGTGTTTTTGAGTTTCGATAAGCCTATCCATGGTTTTTAAAACTGATCTGGAGACTACCGCTCAGGGGTCCGGTTATCGGGTCAAACAGTCTGGCTGTTCAAACCGAATGTTCAGACCGTTCTGAAAAAAAATAAAAAATGGTCGAACGATTAACCGCCCGATTCAGCAATTTGCTGACCAAAATCAACGGTTTTGGGGAAAAATCCGGTTTTTAGGGAAAATGGAACCGGTCACCTGACTTGTTCCCCGTTTTTCCGGTCCAACCATCCACTCTGGTCCAGTTTTGAAAACCATGCACCTGTTTATAGGTGTTTTGGGGACCCTTTTATTTTAATAAAAAACATGTCCATAAATCAAGTTTAAAAAAAAAATAACACATAGGTTTTAGTACCAATACGCCTCTACTAATACATAGAAACGTAGTAGGACTAAGAAGATTAGAGCTATAAAGCGGGTCGTGCCACTCCTTGGTTAGCCTGACATGATATGGGGCCTTGAAGCCTGTGGACTAATATGGCATGATATGATAAAGTGGGTCTTATTAACACAACCTGGAGCACATGAGTATAATTTTTATTTTTATTTTTATTATATTATTTCATTTTAATTTAATCAGGGAAAATTTCCGATTAGTACTCTATACATTAGGCTTAATGTCACTTTAGTCCCTAAACTTTAAAATTGTGACAATTCAATACCCGAACATTAAAAACGTGGCAATCCAGTACATACCGTTAACTAGTTGTTAATCAGCCGTTAAGTAACATTTAAAAAACACAAATTTCCTTTGAATGTCATCTAATTTTCTTTATCAACTATCCAAACATTGTCATTGACAAAAAAAAAATAATAATAATAATAGTCCCAAATCCTTGTCTCTTCTATTCAAAAAAGTTAGAATCAGTAAAATGCCCACTCAAATGTAATTCTAACTTTCTTGAATGGAAGAAACAAGGATTTTGGACTGTTAATTTTCTTGTCAAGGTTTAGATGGTTGATGAAAAAAATTAAATGACACCGAAGGTACTAATTAATGACAGACATTGGATTGTCACGTTTTAAAATTTTGAATACTGAATTATCGCATTTTAAAATTGAAAGACCTAGACACAAAGTACAAAATACAAATAAGGAATTTTCCCAAAGCCTAATAGGTGTCCAAACCGAGTGCTGGCCTGGCCTGCTACAATGCAGGCAGCCGCAAAAGGGGCTGTGCTGGCCGGGCACGGGCCACATTACACCTTTAGATAGGTAAGATCAATTTTTTGAGGCTTACTTTTGTCTCTGATACACAGCCAACACAACAAGGCTCAGTTGGGATATCGTTCGATGTAATGTGGTACGAACCAATGTCAGACTCTGCCGAGGACATTGAAGCAACACAGAGGGCTCAAGACTTTCAGTTTGGCTGGTAATTACACCTTCCAGCGTCGTCCATCAGGGAGATGCCGTGATAAGTAATTAATTCCCTTAATCTGATTAGTTTAACTTGATGATTACAGGTTTATGGATCCATTATTCTCTGGGGATTATCCGATCTCGATGAGAAGTAGAGTGGGAAGGCGGCTGCCAACATTTTCTGAAGCAGAGGCTGCACTGGTTAAGGGGTCTTTGGACTTTGTTGGGATAAACCACTACACTACGTGGTATGCCAAGGACAATTCCACCAATATATTAAGCCTCCTGCTTAACGACACTCTGTCAGACTCTGGGACCGTAACACTTCGTATGTTTCTTGTTATTTCTTCTTTGTTTTCTTTTCTCAATCACTGTGTAGTTTCATTTTTTCTTCCCAACTTAAATCTACTTAACAAATATTCAACTGTGATAAATCAATATAACTAACAGTTTGGCATTCTCTTTTTTTCCTTTTTATATATATTTTTTTTTCTTTCAGCTTGGAAACATGGGAAAGCAATAGGAGATAAGGTAAATCTATTTAGAGTGTTAGAACTGTTTATAGGTATAGATACCATTATTGTTTTTATCTAAAACGTTTTAGGTTGATCAATACAAATTGATGAGAAATATGCATGTCCAAACCTGTTTATCGGCTAGGTTCGGATTTGGTTTTTGCCAAAATTTAAATGACTCATCCCAAATCCCAACCCGTAAACAGGTTTAATGTTGTCACATCACATATGAGTTGCTATCACTAGAACAATACATGTGCGGGACTGATCATTGACATTTATAATTGAAATGTCAAAGTAAAAACAGTAATTTAAACTGATCAACCCAAAATGTTTCAAATAGAAACCACAAGGTATGCATTGTTGTTTTTAATTAATTTAATTTGATTACCGGGTTAATTACAGGCATCTTCAGTGTGGTTGTATATTGTGCCTCAAGGAATCAGAAAGTTGATGAATTACATTAAGCAAAAGTATGGAAACCCTACTGTCATCATCACTGAAAATGGTAATAAATTTCTCTGGATCATACTTGTTGACATCATTAGCCTTATTTAATGATAAAGGGTTTTTTGTTTTAAATTTAATATTTACTGGTTTTCGTTTTACAGGGATGGATGATGCAAATAATCCATTTATCTCCATAAAAAATGCTCTTAAGGATGAAAAAAGGATCAATTATCACAATGACTATCTTACAAACTTGCTGGCTTCTATTAGGTATGTACTAGTGTTATATGGGTGGCAAATGTGATTAAACCATAATCATTCCTAGACCAACCAGACCAATGGTGGGCCTCTGCCTCTCTGACAGTCATGGACCCAACTCCCTGTGGGCTTGAAATTAGTCATTACTAGAGGCCCAAGGTTTGTCTTGAACACAATCTTGCAGCGCATCAAGTCTGAGCAAAAGCTAAGAGCTTATCAAAAAAATACTCTTTCAAGTTTAAAAAACGTAGGGTCTGTTTGTTTTACAGTTGGAATCAGAATTGAAATGGTCTGTTCCTATAATCTGTTTGGTTTAGACGGGCATTCAAAAGGGAATTGGAATCAGCTGAAATGGGATTTTGTTTCTAAGGAAAGGGAGAGAGAATGACAATTCCCTCATATGGGAGAGTGCCTTTCCACCAAGAATAGGAATGAGCCTAACATTGGAATCAGAATGTCCCATTTAGATTTGATTCCAGACTACAATTCCTGTGAACAAAATGAGCTCTTAATTGTGTGGCTGGAATTGTGCAAACTGGTTTTCCCCCTCCGGGCATGGACTAGTTTAGACCCTAAAGTAGCCCATTAATAACAAAAGAGAGAAAGAACTATTTAAAATTGCTTTCTATAAATAAAGGTTTAATGAAATGGCTATTATGTTGAAGAAAACTAATATATCTGATTGTAATTGATGCAGGGAAGATGGGTGCAATGTGAAAGGATATTTTGTATGGTCTCTCTTGGATAATTGGGAATGGGCAGCTGGCTACACATCAAGATTCGGTCTTTATTTTGTGGACTACAAAGACAAGCTCAAGCGATACCCTAAACACTCTGTTCAGTGGTTCAAAAATTTCTTAACCACTGTTTAAAAATTCATAACTTATAAGTTGTTGAATCTGTATATTTCCTAACAAAAGAAAATATTATTTCAAAGGTCTGATCGATCTATTATCCAGTCCTCCATTGTTTGACAATGCTTGCTGAACAACTCCGCACTGGTTTGCCAGTTTTGGTCCCAGTTCCTGGGCCCATTTGTGTCTAGGGTGGGTTAATTGGACCGGATTTGGCCCGATGTGATCCAGGCCAATATAAATCCATTACGGGTGGATCAGGTTCAATCTAATCCTATGAATACTTTAAACCACTTTTGAATCGGTTCAATTCAATGTCTGGACTCTGGACCATTCAATATATTTAAATTGGTTTTAATTTAGATTGGTTTCAACCAAATTCAACGGACATCGATTTCAGATAGACCAGTCAAACAAATACTTTAGACCATTAAATCTGGACTGGTCTAATTCATTAGGTCTTTTTGCTGGTCTGTCTAATCCGCCCAAATTGATTTTGACTTGAATGGGGTCTAACCCAAAACCGGTTGATTGATATCCCTATTTGTGTCAAATTCAAGTTAGCTTAGACCCTTGAATTTGAGATTCTAAACATCACCAGCACCTGCAACATTGTACACTAATACAAGAATCCGCTGAGGATTAATGCCTTCGATCTCAATTTCCATGCCACCGGCCGGTAGAGGACTTAGGTGTCGTTTGGAAAGTCTTTTTTGAAAGATCTGATAGACAAAAGACGGTGTATACTTTTACATAATGGTCTTGATATACCACAGACCATTTGGTTGGAGACACATCTTTCTGCGTGAAGATGATAGTTGAGTGGGCGAAAAAAAAAAGCAAAAAATTCCATTTTTAGCTTTCCAAAATAAGCTTAAATCGAACTTCTCACGTTTTTTCAGGGCACGGTCTTTCGGCCAAACCTTCTTCCTCCAACCAAACAGTGGAAGACTGAAACGCGAACTGCAAGGCTATTAAAAAGGCAACAGCCCATGCAGAAAGACACACCAAACGGGGTGGGTTACCACTGGGCAGAAGTTGGTTACTGTTACACTTACATGACAGATCCTTGAGTGGTTGTGGGGCGTTGTTATTGTACAACATCCATCAAGTAGGAAAATAACTTCAATGTTATGTAACTATTATCACCAAGTCTTGGTCCCGTAGCTCAGTTGGTTAGAGCGTTGGTCTTATGAGCCGAAGGTCGCGGGTTCGAGCCCCGCCGGGACCAGTTTCTGTCATCTACATCTAGTCTATGAAAATAAAAGGACATTTTGCACCATAAATTAAAATCTCTACAGAGTAATTTTAATGAAATTTCTGCTCCTACTTTACAGAAAAAAAAAAAAAAAAATGTTTTACATTCCATAACAGCGAGGAGCCAGGGCCAGAAAGATGTCCCATATGAATTTGAGACTTAACACTGAACCGGCAATTAGTCCGGTCTCTGGTGTCTCCGATGTGATCATTGATTCAGTGTGCTTCATAACAGAGGTTAAACAATTAATTAAAAAATAGGCGGCACCCTTAAGGTTAGTCCATTCATTTGGTATTAAGTTATTCATTGGGTAAATGCATTTATTCAAACAAGTATTATCTAGGAAATTGTTACCTGAATAAGTACATTTATCAATGCTCTTTTGTCAAATGGGTAAGTGAGTGAATTTCTTAAGGCTGCGTTTGGTAGAGGTGTAAATCCCGTTTCGGTGTAATTTTACACCATGGTCTACTTTTGTATGCGTTTGGTTGGAACGTAAAAGAACACCAAATCTCAGTGTAAAACTTCATTTTCAAAAATGTTTACATCAATTTTTTCCATGTAAAACTCGATCGAACTGCCCATCGGTGTAAAAAGAAAGCAACGACTCTCTTCTTCTGCTCTGTCACCATCGAGCTTCCTTCACCGGCATCCTCCACCGTCAAGTTTCCTGTTTCCGTTTCGCTAGCATCCTCCATGCGACCCTCTCTCTCTTCTCTCTTCCACTCCTTCACGCCTACTCATTGCGCCATCTGCTCAAAATAATTGCTGCTGCTAGTGGCTGGTTTTTCACAGTCGATGCTTCCAAGCCCACAACAGATCACGAAGCGAGCTGAGCAAATCGGTCAACATTGCCAGGTTGGTGATTAATCAACGAGAAAAATAAAAGAGAAAGAATGGAGCCTGAATCCCAACCTTCAACATTTCTAGGGTTTTCAGTTCTTCCGATTTCTATACTTTCGATTGTGCTCGAAAGTCTTCTTGTTCTCTTGTCCTTCGGTGATTACTTCAAGAGGAGAAGATCCGAAGTTCAGACCACTGCGAAACCTGAACCAAATGTGGCGTGGAAGCCTTCAAAGCCTACCCAGCCAATACCGAAGAAACTGCACTCAAAATCTCACTCGCATGCTACTGAAAAGTTTTTTCGGTGACCTTCATGAATTTCAGATTCATTTTCTTAATCTTTGATGCACTCGACAATGGTGCTGGTGATGTTGATCGTGACTTTGATGCCCTGGATTTGGACTTCAATAACGGCATTGGTAAAGCTCCCCAAGCTTCTGAGGCCTCTTCCTGTTCTACAAAATTGGTATCAACGGCAGTTATCGGTGGAGGATGCCGACGATGTAGCTCCAAGTTTCTGAGGACTTCAATAACTGCACTCTACCAAATGCATGTAGAAAATACTTTCACATTTTACTTTGTTCTTCCAAACGCACAACAGTGTAAAAGTAGCATCTATCTGGTTCATCTTTTGCATTGATAGATCTGACCGTTTTTCTTTTACATCGGTGTAATTTTGTATTTACACCGCTTCCAAACAAAAATGTTTTCACTTTTTAGTCTTGTCGGGGTAGGAGGTTGAGAATGGGCTAGCTAGCCCCACAAAGCAAAATCATGTCCAGATCACCATGTAAAAAAATTGGTAAACAATCACTATGTAAAAATTTTTCATACCCTTATTTTAATCTACTTCAATCCCTTCCTCCCATCATGTATATTAACTCAATAGTCTTTTCATTAATCGTCTTTTGTAATCTAAGTGGAATTTCCTCGATTTAATTTTATAAAAAAAAAAAAAAACGTATTTTGGGAAGTTTTTTTTTTGGCAACTACTCTTAAAGTATTTGCTATAGAGCACTAAGATGCAGAAATTTAAGTAGATGATGATGATTTTTGTTTAAATAACAATAATTTCATTGTTCTATCAGAAACAATGTAACAAAGACAAATTACTCACACCATCGTATAGTGGTCAATTTGTCTCCTTTCAACCTAAAGACTTTGCTTCAAATCATCGATCTATTAGTTTATATCAATGTGTTCAATATGTAGTCGAACCATATACTCAAACCGATAGACCTATTAGTAGACCAGGTTTTTAGATTTGTTTCACCTAAGGCTCAGTTTGGGAGGAGTACAAATACAAATATGTACAGTGCAAATACATACAAAATAATATAAAATACATAGTTTTGCACTCTACATATTGGCATTTGTACTCCTTCCAAACTGAGCCTAAGCTTTTAAATTTTGACAAGCATATTGTATCATATCTTTTGTCAAAGATATGCCTATTTTAAGGTATTTAAAAAAAATATAAGATGCAAAAAAATAAAAAATAAGGTTTTTAGTGTATCTTTAATAGCATTAATTCTCATTTATAACCATATCTTTGAAATATGATGAACATATAATATTAAAGACTTGTCTAATTAGATGGTCTGTACCTTCCATAATAATTCTCATATATCACACATATATTTAGCTATTTCTATTTTTGATTTTGTGTTCATATTATTTAATTATCATCTTCATCATCATCCATGCTTATCCCAACTATAAGCCGTTGATTATTGACTTATTTGACCTCACTGATTGAATTGTTGACTTGCCATTCAGAAGGAAATCCTTTTTTTTTTTTGTATGGATTAAAAAAATTATTTTTTATTAACATCTTTCAACACACAATCGATCAATTGACACATCACCTCACAATTGAATTAACCAGTTGAACTATTGAGCCATTTGATCTAATCAACAAAGTCACAAGTTAGAAATTAATTATTTTTTTTATATATCATTTTCATGTTAGTAAAAATAATTCTTATTTATCACACTTATTTTTTAATAAGTTGAATATACAATATAAGAGAATTACTCAAAATTTTTTTATAATTTCTTGTAACTTTTTATATTTATATCTATTTTAATTTTTTATTATTTGATTACAATGTCATTAGTTGACCCATTTAACCAAGATATATGGTTGAACCACTAAGGCACTAACCCTCCACTTGGATGGATTAATTTATTTTATTTCTAAGTTTGTTTTAAAAACATCAGTATAATTTTGGGGTGAAATTTTAATGATCAGTAGAAGAAAAAACTAACTTATTCAATAAAAGGTGTGGCAATGAAAGAGAAAAAGAAAGAATTAATACATTAAATGTGGCAGTTAATGAAGAGAACAAGATAAAATATAAAGTATCAATTCAAGTTACAATTTATGCTACAAAGATTGGTTCCATTCCCATAGATATAGATATAATAGATAGTGGTCGTCAAAAAATTTTTCCCATGACCCAATATATAGTTTGGATAGTCCCTGGCATCCCCAGGAAAAAGGTCAAAATTAAAACATTTTTCAGAAATAGGGGAAAACAGAGTGTATCGAGGAAAGTGAAATTTACGGGCTTAATTAATAATATATGAAACCAGTCAACTAGTAGTTAATCACTACTCAATTTAAAAGCAGGTCATTAATTAATCACTTACTTATTTTGGGAAAGAACTTCAAAATGGTAAACTGTATTATTTGTTATCTATGTTGGCTCCCTTCTCATGTGTTGTCTATAAATTTCAGTTTCTTGAGCTGTCTCCAGCTGATACATACAATACATAGGGAAAGCCAATATGGGTAGCTATGAGTATCAGATCGGGGTCATGGTCATGGTCATGGCCATGGCTATGCTGTGTTTAGTTGGGGTGGTGATGTCCAGCCAAGATGGATGGGATAATGCTCATGCAACGTTTTACGGAGGCGATCATGGAGAAGGCACCATGCGTGAGTTCATCTCATTTCTCTCTTTCCTGTAAAACTGTTTTGAGATATATATTTTGCATAAAGAAAGAAAAAATGGAGAAATCATCAGGAGTTGATTATTAATTGTGTCTAACAGAAGGAGCTTGTGGGTATGGCGACCTATTCAAACAAGGCTACGGGCTGGAGACGACGGCGTTGAGCGTGTCCCTCTTCAACGATGGCAAAACCTGTGGAGCCTGTTACGAGCTCCAGTGCTATGACTCGCCGTGGTGCAAGCCCGGCACGATCAAAGTCACGGCGACCAACTTGTGCCCGGCGAACTACACCCAGAAAACCGGGAACTGGTGCAACCCGCCTCTCAAGCATTTCGATCTCTCCGTGCCCATGTTCACAAAGATAGGCGTATATAAGGCCGGCATCATCCCTGTGAAATACCGCCGCATCCCGTGTGTCAGGTCTGGAGGCATCAAGTTCGAGATCCAAGGCAACCCATGGTGGATGCTTGTGTTAGTTTACAATATAGCCGGCGACGGGGACGCCACCGACGTTAAGATTAAGGGCTCCAACACTGGCTGGATCCAGATGACGAGAAACTGGGGCCAGAAGTGGCAGACATGGGTTCAGTTGAATGGGCAGAGCTTGTCGTTCCAAGTGACTACGAGCGATGGTAAGATGGTCCAGTCCGATGATGTTGCACCCAAGGACTGGCAGTTTGGTCAGACGTTCGAGGGTAAACAGTTCTAAGGACTAGGGTTTGGTGCTGCTCTCTGCTCTGCAGTAGCAATGAAGACTCATTGTAATTTCGATGTTCTTTGTAATTCTTATATACAAATAAAATTGAGATGGATCGAACAGTACGGTCTTTGTGCTTATTAATAATTACCCTGTTCCTGTTGAGTTCAAATCAGCCCCCACAACAACCCACATCACATTTTTTGGAATGATATCATCATCGAGAGAGATGTTCCCAATACACGGCGGGGATGTGCCGTGGGTGGATTCTAAATACTGCACGTATTTATTTTGGATAAAAACTGTGATGCGTTTGGGTTTTATTATCCTAATATGATTGGCAAACAAACTTGCGTTTTAATACCAACAAAATTGCAGAAGATCTGAAAGGCGTCTCTGTATAAATATTCGATTGATTGGTGTTCTACTGCTGTCTTGTCTTGACAATACCTAGCAGCAAGTAATTAATGGGTTGTTTTGCATTTGATTCTACGGAGAAGTACGGTCCCTACGAGTAAAGGGTTTAAAGGATTCTTCTTCTGCATTTGATTCTATTGAAGGGATGATGGAATGTGAACGAGTACTACAGGAGGATTCCTCTACATTTGATTACCATGAAGGTCTGATGGATTTACCGGTTGGGTATAGATTTATACCAACAGATCAAGAGCTCGTGTTGCATTATCTGTTAAACAAGCTCCAATCTAAGCCTCTTCCGTGTTCCGTCATTGTAGACATTAGCGCAGACGAGCTATACAGTAAACCTCCCAATCAGCTTGGTATGTTGGTCATCTCTCTCTCTCTTTCTCTCTCTCTCTCTCTGTTACATATATTGCATTACAATTTACAGGGATCAACTTGTTTGCGAGAGAGGAGTTGTTTTTCTTTATCCACTATAATGGAAATCATCGAGTTGATCGAATGGTTGGAGATGGGATAGGTAGATGGAAAATCATTGGAGAAGAAACGTCAACATACTCCTGGGAAGGATTTGAATTTGTTTTCAAGAAGATCTCATTATGTTACTACTCAGGAAAGCGATCAAGAGGAAGAAGAACGAAGTGGGTGATGGTGGAGCATCATTTAATAAGGGAACATAAAGTCAAAAATACCAACTTAAAGGTGAGAACTCAGAAGAGATCATCAATTACTATATGCTGTCTGTCTTTTACACACCTTGAATTTGTAATCTAATGGTGGTTTCCTAATTACTTCCAGGAGTGTGTGCTAGGAAGGATTAAGCGTGGGGAGCTTTACACGAGTTAATTTGTATAGGGCTGCTTCTTTTCTCATTATTGATGTAAGAAATAATAAGAAGAATAAATGCATTTATTAGTCTTTTTTTTTTTATATAGTATAAGCTAGTATATATATACATCCAGCCCCCTGTTCAACTTTGCCTAGTTGAACATTGTTAAATCAGCTAATCAATGTGACTTGTGACTATGATATGTATCTCTGTTCAGAGCAATTAATACGCTATATATCAAGGTTTGAGTGAAACTCTCGATATGTAAATTAAGTACAAATTAGGAGGCATGTGCAAATTGCATATTCGGAAGTCCACTTTTGAAGACTAAGAAGATGTTTGGGGTCGATGATGATTCCTCTTGTTTGTTTGTTTGATATCATTATGAGTTTGTTTCATAGTGATTATCAGCAGTGATTTTTGTGTTTATGGAAATTATCTCCCCTATCTATGTTAGATGTTATATCATACAAAAATAGTCAGAATGGGCATAGGAAGAGAGAAATCATCATGATTTTTATAATCCATTTTTAGCTGCTTTACCAATTTCTCAAAAATCAGCCAACCAAAGAGCAAAATAATCATTAATATGGCTCTGATGTAATGTGGATTTCTATCCCAAACACCACCTAAAACTTGTATATATAATTTTCCTCTCTCCCTACGATGAGGATTATTCTAAAATTGTCAATTAAGCATTTATACCACCTCAAAGCAAAGTTGATAAATTGCTACAATAGCTGGTTACTAGTGGCAAGAAGTTGGGCATGGGGTCTAATTACTTTAGGAAATCATTAAGGTGATGTTTGGCGTCAATGATGATTTTTCTTTGTTGATTATCCAAAGTCGGTGATTTTTTAAAAATCACCCAAAAAATTTTGTTTGATATCATTTATGTCATATATGTAAGTCGATTTTTGAGAAATCGGCTTTGAGTCTGTTTGATACTGATTTTTTAAGGGTCGATAATTATTGTATTAGAGTTATTATTCAATGCCATATTAGATGTCATGTCATCCTCAAAAATCGGAATCATCTAGAAATAGGTGATTCCTAAAAAAGGCCAATTTCCAAGGTTTTTAAAACTGAAACAGACAATGAACCAATCAGGGATCTGGTTCCTGGGTCGAACAGTCTGACTATTCGAACCGAACAAATGGCCCATTCTGACAAAAAAAAATAAAAAACTACCACAAACGTTGGACAGTTTGAACAATTTGACTGTCTGAGTCGGAAGTTTGCTGACCAAACCAACGGTTTTAAGCAAAATAACAGTTCTGGGGTAAAATGGAACCGGTCCCCTGAACGATTTTCGGTTTTTCCAATCTGACCATCCGGTCTGGTTCAATTTTGAAAACCATGTCGATTTCAATAATCGATTTTGGTCCAATTTCTTGAAAATCAATAAAATGGCCAACTCGGACATGGCAGTGATTTTTAAGAAACCCGGGTTCCTTTGCTTTAGAGGAGATTCTACCTATTTGTATTTACCATGAAAACAGTTTGCAAGCTAAAGCCCAATAAATTTAAATTTTAGGGTTAGGGTTTAAGGGTTTAGAATTTAGACTTTAGGGTTTAAGGCAGAGTTAGGATTTAGGGTTTTAAGGATTTGGGATTTAAGGTTTAGGGGTTTAAAGATTTAGGTTTTTGGGTTTAAGGGTTTACGTAGGTTGTGCTATTCTTCCCTCTTCAAATTTTACACTTTTCCATCTCGAACTCTCAGTCTTTTCAACTCTTCCCTGCACGAGTCTAAGTAATTATAAAAGGAGAAAGAAGCAGTACCTTTTCCGTGTTGGGTTATGGAAGCACACTCCTTTTAAGTTATTCTCCTCTTTTAAGTTCTCTTCCGAGTTTCTTTGTAGCAACGAACACGTTTTCATCTTCCGAAACCAGCGAGCTAGTGACCCATTAATTGTTTCAAGAACAAAACTCTATTAGTCTGTTGATTTGTACAACTGGGTCGACTTCACATAATTATCTATCTCTCTTCTTTCTATCCAATTTTCATGGATTCCATTAAAGAGACTAGTTTAAGTTTACTGTGTATTGCAGAGAAAGGCAAAGTGGGTTATTTCTTCACACTTACAGATTGGAAGTATCCAAAAATGGTTGCTGAAAAGGGGTGAGTTTTATCTATTCATATTCTTTCTTTGTTGGGTGATACTAGAGTTTAGGAGTTGAATTCAGAGAAAAGGTTCTGTTTCTCTTCTATCCCATGGAGATTTTGTGTTCTTTGTCGGATTCAAGAGAAGAGACATGGTCAGGGCAGGAATACGGAGGCCGTCAAAGCAGCTTCTGGATTCACTTCCACGGGAACGACCATGTTTGACCGGGAATTGAAGAGTGCCAAATCGTCGGAGAAGTGATGCCCCTGGATGACTGGGAACACTACCAAATCGCTGCAGATGTGAACTAAGAGCGTGTAAGAATTGAACGCATGGTTTAAAGTATTGACACGCCCGATAGATAAGGGTGTCAATGGACCGGTTTTGGATTGACCCCACGGCTTGGACGGACTAACAAGACATACTGGATTGGACCACTCTGGTCCAAACTATTTATTAGATTGGACTGGACCTGGTCCATCCGTAATAAATTTATATTGGATTCGGTTGGATTAAGCCAATATCCGATCCACTGATATAAGATAAGAATATAGGTGTCAATGGACCGGGTTTGGGTTGAAACCAATCTAAGTTAAAAACGATTTTGAACAGATTGGATGGTCCAGACATTGAACTGGACCAGCCCAAAATGGTCCAAAATATTCATTGGATTGGATTGGACCTGGTCCATTTGTAATAGGCTCACATTGAACTGGATCAGATTGGACCAAATCCAGTCCAATTGACATGGCCATACATACCAACTGGGATGCTTTGTAAATTGCAAGATGCAACCAACTGGTTGGTAAGGTCTCTTACCGGTTGTAGCGGAAACTTGGAATCGAATCCTACTTACACCTAGGTTGGGGAAATGACTGGATGGACTATCACCATTGTGTAGCCCTTCAGAAGATTTCCAAAAAAAAGGCTTTATAACTTCTTTTTTTTTTAGCTTTTCTTTTCTTTTTAGAAATGTTTCAGGGGCTCGGTTTTAATTTTAGGCTTGATTATCCTTGAAAGTGATGAAATTCTGAAACACCTCTTATTTAGTGTTTGAGAAAGCTAATAACAATAGGATACGATATCCCCAGTACTAGGCATTGTATCAAAATTTTGAACATTGGTTGAACGTGTTGGACAAATGGGGACTGTCCATCCAGGGAGAAGAAGAATATGTAGAAGAGATGAGAGTTAGTAACCTAGCCAGAAAAAGAATAATATTGCGGGAGGGAAGGGAGATTCTACCAATCCAGCCAGTGATTTGGTGACAATTAAGGCTGTGTGTGGAAGTGGTGTAAAACATCATTGATGTAAAAATCTATGATAGAGTTTCACACCAAACAGTAAAAAAGTTCTGACCGTTGAGATTCAAAAAATGTGGCATTTTAATTTAGATGAGGTTTTACATTGATTTAGGATGTAAAACTCCACCCCCATTCAAACACTGATAAATCTGAACTGGGAGTGGAGTTTTACATCGATCTTGATTTACACTCCATCTAAATGCCAACAAAACCAAACCGACATAATTTTTTGCATCAATGACGTTTTAGATCACTTCCAAATGCAACCTAAAGATATCCAAGGCTTGATGATCCACCATTTTGGAGCAACTTGGATTATGAATATTTGATATTTAGGGGTGGATTCGAGCCGAGCTAAGCCAAATAGTACCAAGCTCGAGCTCGGCTCGAGACTTTTCTACAAGGCTCAAGCTCGGTTCGAGCCAAAACCTTGAGATCAAGCTCGGGTTGAGTCAAAAGTTCATAAGCTCGAGCTCGGCTTGTTTTATATTTTATAAAAATATTTTATTATTAAAATATTTTATAAAAATAAAAATTATATAAAAATTTTTTAGTTTATATTTAAAAAATTAAGAATTATAATATTTTTATAATATATATTATTTTCCATAATTTTATTATATATATTAAATATCAAATATATATATATATATATATATATATTCGAGTTGGCTTGCAAGCCTCACGAGCCAAGCTTTAGTAGGCTCGAGCTCGGCTCGTTTATTAATCGAACCACTAAAGTGGGCTCAAGCTCGATTGAAACTGAGCCGAACCGAGCTCGAGCAGCTCGTAAAAAGCTCGGGTCCTTGCCACTCCTATTGATATTGAGCCAGCAACATTCCAATGAGCTGAAAGCTCTACAAATGGTGCACAAATTTAAAGAATTGCCAATCAATCACATCAGACATGTCACATGTGGTATACTTAATAAGGTTACTTAACAATGTTTAATACGTCTCACTTTAGCGCTAATTCATGTTTTTAAACCAAATCTGCATTTCCTCTTCTCATGATTAGTCCTAACACCTTCCAACAGCATTTGTAGTCATGCATTGGAAATACATTCCCACGAGTGAAAAAATACAAATATAGAGGAGACCAGATCTGCTCTTCACAAGTGCTCCTTATACCGACCTCACGGGCATATCTAACCATTTAACGAGAATATTTTCTGTACTTATGTGTTATTATTCATGGGATCATTATTCAGGAACTACAGAATTAAATTAAACTAGTTGGAGTTTGTTTTGCATGCTAACGATTTGAATTAAAATTGGTCATCATCATCATGCATGTCTTTATCCCAACTATATGGGGTTGGCTACATGAATACTCGGTTTGTTTTTTTGATTTTGTTTAATGCCATATCATTTGAACTAAATTGATGCAGTTTGAAAACAGATACAAACTTGTCTTCCACTCTCTTTGCAATCTTTATGCCAAAATAGTGTGAAACTATGAATGAATTAGAAAACAATGCTGATATAGGATATATATTTTTCCCGTAATTTATGGAAATAACAATATTAAAAACAGGTTAACTATTTTCTTAATTAAAATTTATGTATTTCAATATGATTTGTATCTTAGAAATTCTAATGGATTTGGTATTTTTTAAATTAAGATTATATATTTCTATAAATTTTAATTATTATGTTAATTTATGATAAATAACAACATAATTATTACTTAAAAAATAAAAATAATATTTACAAAATATTTAAGAATTTAAATTGAGTTATTTGTTAATATGCAAAGTAAAATTGATAAAATAGAAAATAAGTGATTTCATCATAAAATATTTTAGTTGCATATGATTTGTGCTTGAGATTTATATTCTCATGAATCTAACATATTTTTTGGATTAATTATATATTTCCACAATTATTAACTAATGATTAAAGTAAATAATAGCATATTAATGACTTCATGCATGTGGTAATTTGTAAAATTCTATTGATTATTGATAGATGCGTTATCTTTTTTTATTATTTCTTTTGAAGGGATAGACAACGGTTGGTGGGGTAACCATCCCCCACCCAGGTGCAGGAAGGATTTGGTCTCAAGTCTCTGCTACGACCAGCGAAAGACCTTACCAACCAGCTGGTTGACGCCTTGCTTGACAGATACATTATCAATATAATTGTGTGATATCTGCATGCATATCCCATTATATAGATTGTGATTATTTTTTCATAAAATCCGTAAGTATGCATTTTGTTTATGTATTTATACTAAAGATGCAACTTGGTTTGACCTGAGTTAACATTTTATACTGCTTTAGCCTAAAAGCCTTTGGGCCTGGGCCATTCAAATGTTTACAAAAGCCCTACCCAAAGCCACCCAAGTTGGACGGTGGAACCCCTAATTTATACCTTAGTTATTTCAACCTTAGACCTAGAACATTATCTTCTTCTTCTTCTTCTTCTTCTTTTGTTGAATTTCCTCTGATGTATCCAACCACGTTTGTACCTTTTCACCATACACATGCCTATCCATGGCATATCACAATACATATCAATTTCCAAAGTTTCAATACTGATGCTGTGAACATTTGGTTTGTGCCAATAACCCGGCCTTGGTTGGCGGTTCTTGTGAAGAACAGCCATTGATTGAATAGTTTATAGTTGCAAGAACATTTTGGCCAAGCTTTCCCCACTCATCGCTGGGTAGGTTTTAGATAGATCACAATGGGATATGCAGCCAGCACACGCAAAGCAGATCAAGTAAAAATTGCCATGAGACCCACCAATGTAAGCTTGCTGGGCACTACTAAAACAAAAGACACACCCACACCGCAAGCAGGTTGGATGTGCGGTTGAACCATCTCTATCAACTAAGTGTTGCTTTAAAAATGATCAATATCACAGAAGCCATTCCCACTTAAAGTGGCAAGTTATTGCTTGCACAAAGTTGGTAACCAAATATAATCACCTGACACGCCATAATGAAAGGTTGGCCCTGTCGATGCTGGCTGCTAGTGCTAGCATCTGGTTTTCACTTTTCAGGCCATTCGGTTCTCCCATCCCCGGAGAAGCAAATCGGGTAGCCTACGCCTTGGCTTAGAGAGCATGACTCTGGTCTTGCATTACATTACATATCTCTTAATGACTCAGCTTTACTTTCTTGCACCAAAAAAAAAAAGGCGCCATAATGAAAGGGTTTCTGTGCCTTCCAACGCACAGTATGTGTTTCTTTAAGATCTGAACAATTATTCATTTGACCAAATTGGAAGATGTTACAGAAACAAGAGCCCAGAATCGATACCAAAAAAATTCCAGCCATGAAGGCTCTCAAGGAAATATGTGGTAAAGCAACCAGAGATTGGTATTATGAGACATTTTTGAAATGAGGAAAAACAGGATAAATAATGACCAAAAAAACCAAAAATTTAACCTAGTAACGGTTCCAGTAGGTCCTGCGCCTGAACCAGTTGTAGTCTGGTAAACCTTGAACGGGACCCATCGCTGCAATTGCAATGTCCTGCAAAAATAAAAAAAAAAAAACAAAAAAGATCGTCAAGGTGCATTATTTTAAATTTTTAATGGCCATATTCCCTCGTCTCATCTATATATTATTAGCATATAACACAACAGTCCTTGCCTTGTCAAATATAAACCGGTTTGCAACACGCTTTACGGTGCTTGCATCCACAGCATCAATCCTTGCAAACAGTTCGGCAAAAGAGATTCTTCGGCCATAGGTAAGAAGCTGCAAGCACAGGTATAATAAAATTATAAAGGAGACGATAGAACATAAATTTATGTTTTTTTATGAATACGTATATGTGTATTTCTTCCATGCAAAGTTACCCTGCTCCAGCTCCCAGCGGGGCTAATCAAATCTTCCAAATGCAAGCAACCATACCGAACATTGAAAGAGATGAGCATTAAGCTTAAAACCGGGCAAACATTTTACCTCCTAACAGCCAATAATAATATTTGAACTCCTTTAATAATCAATGGCAATAATCATTCAAAAGGTGGCTATATATCAGATATTTCCCATCAGTCTGAGCGGGACCCATAAAGCTTTTCTTTTTTCTCCTTCCGATGACCCATGATGCATCATATATATCAGACATATCAAAAGAGGATTCATACCTGACGCCCAATATCTTCAGCAACAGGACTGGTTCCATCAATGTGAAGGAGCAGAGAAGATTTCAACTGTAAAACAGCATTTAGGTCAATGGCCAAATTAGACAATGATGGGAAAACTTGACAAAAGACAAAGGTTTGGTCTCTTTTCAATGTGTAATGAAGAATTCCTACTCTGCTCTGATCAGTGTTACAAGAATTGAAATGATCAGAAAGGCAACATTTCACACCAGAAACACTGTAGAAGATGCAAGGATGTCTAACAAAAACATCTCAGATATTTCCACCAGCTATTTACCCACACACACACACAATGAGGAGCACAGAAAACTACCTGATTACGAGCACGAGTAACATCAGCTTCTGAGACTCGGTAAGAGAGCTTGCTTATCTCATACATAATTGCATACGCTAGATCATCCAAGCAATCCGGCTGTTTCAATTGAACGTACAATTAGGATAAATGACAGCACATACAATCAAGAAAGATGAATGCAACTGAACTAGGCTTGATCATTGATGGTATGATTTGCCCAGAAAACAAACACATGGCTGAGATACAGAGATAACAAAACAAGTGGAGTACCCAGCTTAAAATATAAGAATTCAATTAAGTATGACACCCCTCTCCTCAACTACACCTTCAACATGGAATTGATAATTAATTCCGCTAGCCTACTACCTGAATGAGTGAATTCTACACTGCTACAGATCAGAACCAAAGAGTGCAACCCAATAGCTGTGGAATCCAGGAGCAGCTTTTATTGGTTGAGCCATTTAGAGAACAGACTAAGCAATCCAGTTACACATAGCAACAGGTTTGGAGCCTAAAAGGACTCAACATGTGCCTCATCTCCCAAACTCACAAAGAAAGTTCAGCAAAGAAGGTTAGGCCTAGGGGTTAAACTTGATCAAATTGGATTAGATTTTGAGCAACCTGGGCCCAACCCTAACAACCAGTCTAACCCAAGGTGAAGCCTGAGTTTGCCAACACAACTTGAGTTTAACTAGGGCTTGCACATCTTCTTGCAGGCTTGGTCAGGCCTAAGCAGGTTGGTGGGGTATATAACTTCTGTTTTGCACTTTTATCTTATTTGTTATTTCACTTAAGCTTTATACTATAATCCTTTTTTTTAGAAAAGGTTATGTATTAAGGGGCTAACCACAAAAATTATCATGTACAGCCCTTGAAGCAGGAAGGCACAAACAATGTAATAAAAAACAATACATATAAGTGAGGTATTCTCTACATATTCACATAAGACTGAATCACAAGCTCATTAGCACGAATAATCTATCCCAACTTGAAGAGAGGTGGTGTAACTTAGGACCAAGGAAGTCTTTTTACTCAGGCTGGCCTATCTTATAATGTAGCAAAATTTAGTAGAACAAAGGAAATATATACAAATACCATTGCATATGCATAATCTATGTGCATAACTACATTTTTACATGTTCATGAAAGAGTGCTGACCCAGTTTAATCATATAAATATTGTAAATATGCTTTAAAATGTATATAGAGTATAAATAATATAGATAGATATATATAGCATAAATACAAAATATACATATATACAGGAGCTAAAATTTAATATAAAAGTTTAGCTGGGCTCACATTGGATTGGAATGGGCTCAGGCTATCTAAGGCCTCAACCCAGGCCTAACCTGAGTTTAGGTCAAGCCAGACACATGCAAAAGGTCAGGTTGCGTCTGGTCTGGCATGGGTTAGGCCAAGAAAAAGTTGCCATCCTACAAGCAAATGTCCAAGATAATCCCTTCTATGATCAATCAAGAAAAAAAATGTTTTACGTGAGCAGATTTAAATCTAAATTAAAAAATTTAAACCTTGGACAGCTAATGTTATTTGGGGAAAAAACACAATACAAGGTTGGACTGGATTTGGTCCAATCCGGTCCAGTCCAATGTGAGTCCATTACAAATGGACCTGGTCCAATCCAGTCCAATGAATATTTTGGACCATTTTGGACTGGTCCAGAGACTGTCCAATCTGTTCAAATTCCCGTTAATTTAGATTGGTTTCAACTCAAACCTGGTCCATTGACACCTATGTTTTTATCTTCTATCAATGGACCAGATATTGGCTCAATCCAATATAAATTCATTATGGACGGACCAGGTCCAATCCAGTATGTCATATTGGTCCGTCCAGTCTGTCCAAATTCAATGTCTTATTGGTCCGTCCAAATGGATTTTGAATTGGACAGAGTCCAACCCAAAACCGGTCCATTGACACCCCTAGATCTGATGTGGGGTTGATGTATTCGGTTTTCTTTCTTTTGCAATATAATACGGATAGAGTCAGAAAAAAAAACAACAAAAAGATCTGATATGGGGTTGAAGGTGTTGCATGGACTCGCCCATCCTAAATGGACAACATGTCCATGTTAGAAAACACATTAGAATCTCACACTCCATAGATACTTGAGGGAACTTCTATGTATCATCTTATTCTTATCTGCTAGCTTGCTTGACATAAACAAACAGCTATATAAATGTATTTATCAAAAAAACAGCTATTTAAAAGGCATTTTTCATGCCAAGTGTTATTTAGTGACAGAGGCAACAGTTTGTGTAAGTATATAATGTTAGAATTCAAGAAATATGTATTTTAATAGCATGTACTTTTCCATAAAGCGTGACTGCAATTCCAAATTTTCTCATCTTGCCAAGCCAGACTCTTGGACATGCATCAGATTCCAACTCCTGTGTCTGTGTCCATGCGAAATTGGGTTGAACGCACAAAATCACAAGGACCACCTATTGGACATATGGTTTAGATCAACCATATAATGCCTTCATGTGGCAGAAAAGGGTCATGGAGGGAAGATCCTTACTTTTTCCTTAAAAAACTTTTTTTATATAATCCTTTGTCCTAAAAAACTTTTGCAATCCTAAAAAATTTATTTCCACAAACACACAGATATAAATATATTGCTCCTTTTCAACCAGATCCAAACACATCCTCAAAGTTTGTTAACCCTTTTCAGTTGAGTATTTGCTTCCTCTTGGGTAGAAACAAGAAAATAAATAAATCTTCCCAGATAACTGGGAGTCGATTTTATGTAAATCTCCAGAACATGTTTTTTATGAAAGAATCTCCAGAACATGCTCACCCATACTAATCATTAATCACCAAAAGGATTTTGTTAAAGGATCCAACCAATGATAAAACATCATCATAAGTCATGTGCCAACTATATGGAGTTGGCCACATGAATCCTGTTCTGCCATTCCATTCTGTTCAGTACCGCAACCATTGTTAAAATTATGGGCCCTTGGATCATTTATCACTACTTCAGTCCATGACTTTTTTGGTCTGACCCTAGCTCTTCTAGCCCTTTCACATATCACTTATTTCTCCCAAGTGCTCTAGTCTGTAGATGGTTTCTCATTGGTTTCTTCAAAAAATTCATTTCCGATCCTACCCTTTCTAGTTTTCCCACCCATCCATTTCAACATTCTTATTTCTGCCAAACTCAAATTTTGGACATCCCAAACAATGGTAAATGGATAGGAAAATTGAGAACGAATATGGACAATGGTAACATGACCATTACCAACATCGAGAATGAAGATAAAATGAAGAAATTGTAAGACACCAAGTGTTATTACAGAATAAGATTGATACTTTGGATGAATTTATATAAATACAAAGAAACCAAAGGCCCATCCCAATTAAAGAAAGAAAGAAAGAAAAGGAGCTAAGAAAAGTTCAAATTACTAAAGTGCCATGAAGCTAAAATGACCAACGAAAGTTAAAATATCAAAAGCAGAAATTGAAAAAACCTAATAGAAAACTCTCAGCAATCATACCTTGGCAATGGCATAAACACCAAACAATCCTGTGTCCTTATAGTTAGTGTTGAAAGCCATCATGCTCTCAGCTACTTCATTTATAGCAACCCTCTGTGCAAGTTCTGAACTGTTTATAGATTACAAATGCAATCATTATATGTATTTTGCAAAAGATCTATCACTAAGAAAAGAGATCAAGTTGCAAATATCAACTGAATAAATGAATCAAACCATATAATCAAAGACTCACCCCATGTGCTTTCCCCCTCCTGTATTTTTATTCCACGAACCTAGCATGGACTGCATGACCATCAAAGCAATTGAATCTGGGTCTGTCCACGAAGCTCCATTGAATGCAACAGCAAATTGTGCAAGAGGAACATCATCATCAATTATCCGAACCTGATTGTTATGGAGCAATAGTAAAGAGTTAAAAAGAACAGTAAAAGAAGAAATATTTCTCAAGCACATATAGAAATATGCCATAACAAAACCAAACATCCATACCTCAGAACCAGTAAAGGCTGCTGGTTCCTTTGCAACCAACTGAGCAGCAGTGGTAGGATCAGTAGAGAGCTTTGTAAAGAGCTTCTTTACTTGCTCAACAATATCCTCATGCTTAACAGCTCCAGCAGCAGAAATGACCTGAAATGAATGTCCAGAAAATAATAATCGTGAAGAATATGAAGATGAAAACTCTGAATCATGATCATAGTGAATAAAATTAAAATCAAATAGAATAAAGGTTTCACATTAACTAATTGATCCATCTTTGTTTTAATTAAAAATAGAAAGGCCTCTGTCACTCAAGTTAAGTACCATTCTAGGAGCTGTATAATGGGTTGAAATGTAGTTTTGAAGATGAGCTTTCGTGATTGTCTTAATATTCTGAGCAGGCCCCAAAATAGTCCTACCCAATGGAGTATATTGGAAGGCAGTTGCATGCAAATGGTCAAAAATAACTTCCTCAGCTTGCCCCTCCACCTATATGACAAAAAAATGTAAAGTATCATAAATATACATCATATTATGAACCATGAACAAGGAAAATGGTAACAACCATACAAATTACTTATTTTAACAGAAGGAAATATAGTCTCCATGCACCAGTTACTACCCTGTAATGCTCTTCCTCAAGAGAAATAAAAAAAGGATACCATGTGTAACATCATATGGGCACTATAACAACATTTATCTATTGCCTGTCTTTATCTATTGTTATTACCAAGAAAAAAAGAAGCCTTGTCAAAGATATACTTTTGGCTTAAAAAAGGTATACTTTTATGTTAGATTATTGTTTGTACTTTTTAAAGAAGCACTCTATGGATACAAGTGTTGTCAAAAGGTTGAGTAGTCATTACATTTGCCATAAAAAAAAGATATAGTTTTACATTAGGGTTGTTGTTTTTAACTTTTGAAAGAAGAAGCACTTCTAGGTCATATATGCATACAAGGGGATGTTACATGCAAGTTATTTTCATCAATAACAGAGTCATCAATGGGTCAACTACTCATTAACTAGTCAGGCGACTAGTCAATTGAGGATCATATGAACTGCATCACTAATTAGTGCAGTCACTTGGGATGACTAAGCATCAATTAGGTCAACTAGTCAATTGATGACAAGATCTACTCAACCACAAGCACAGAATTGTTTTAAAGCTTTATTTGCTTGTGTTTATCTCTGGCTATTTCAAATAATAAGCACAAACTTTAATTTTTTGTATGCAATTATGCATTTTGTTACTTCAAGCATTAACTTTTCTTCCAATCAGTGTTATGCTGGTGCAGAGTTGACACAAGAGGTACATCAAATAGTCAAAGGTTGCAGTTTTTTGGAAAAGAAAAAAAAAACAAAAACAAAAACAAGGGCTGTAACTCCCTATCCAAGCCTATCAAGTCTAACTTTTCTATGTTAGAAACACAGGCTGCAAACTAAATGTTTAGTGGCATTCTTTTATTTTGCATATTTGCAATCTATAATAACTTATTTATAGGATTAGATCAATATCACCAGTCAAAAAAATAGCATCAAGATCTTAAATCTAAAAGAGTAAAAGGTATCTTTTTTTTCTGGCTGACTAGTCAGTACCTAGGCATTGACTAGTCATTGCATCAACTAGTAGAGAGGCCAAAACAACTAGTCATTACTTCACTGCATTGATAACTTTGGAATGAAATATCTTTTTCTTTTAAGCATTGGGCAACAAATATCATTGTGGCTGACATTTGCATCTCTTTTGCAGGTACTGTTTTTACACATCTTCCGTATTATGCCAGTTCCCCCATTTCTACAATGCATTTTCTATTTTTGTTTGCTTGTTATTAGATTATTTATCTCACTCAGTTCATCAGGCAACTACTAATATTTGCTTGTATACCAACAAAAATAAAAGAACTGAAGTGAGGGTAGTCAGAGCCAAAGCATTGGCTTTTTCAATTTGCACCTGTAAGGAATAATAAACGTAAAAAATTCACCATGTGCTTAATTTTTTCTCTTGGTCATCATAAACTTAATTTTAGGAAAAGTATATAGCTCGGCCTCTAATATGGTAACTTATATATTGGGGGAAATTTTACCACCAACATTAGTCATTGTGTTGCTGATAAACATTGGTAATTGTTGCACCAAAATAAGGAGAAATTACCTTCATGAATCAGGACATGTGCAACAGATTACAGGCACAATAGTAGGGAGCTATGGATGGAATTGTTCATACATAAACCAGCCACCTTTTTTTGTCTGGTGGAGGAGGGTGTGGTATTTTTTCTTTTTTCTTTTTTCTTTTTTTTTTTTTTTTTTNNGGGCTGTGATGGTATTTGGGATTCTGTCATCAAAATTGTCCAACTCTTACGACTAGTATAATAAAAGAATCATCGTTTGCCATTCCAATCTAAACAAAGTCATATCCGTTGCTATTGCATGTGCCTTCAAATATTGTCTCACTGTCTCATTCGCCTTCGCCCTTTGTTCCCAAGCTGTCTAGACCACTTGGTAGCTCCATCCATGGCCTTTATTTACCTTTATGTTATTAACCTTATGAAAGTCCTTGGAAACAAAATAAACATAAAGCAATAAGAGACATCGCTGAACAATGTGATTACTGCATACGATAGCAACAAATAACCCAATTCCCGTGCACAGTTCGGGGCGGAACCCAAAGAGATACTTAAAAAAAACAACCCCAAGGCCAAATTGATTGCAGTAAAGCCAAATCCACATCTGAAGAAAGTAACAAGCAAGGAATAATTCACGTACCTCTTCCATCTCGCGCAGAATTACGTCTCGCTCACGGTTGATCCGATTCTCGCTAAAGCAGGAATTTTGCAATATATCAGCAAGGATATCGAGTGCCTTCGGGACATCTTTATCCATTACCTTGGCGTAATACGTCGTCTGCTCCCTGGAGGTATATGCATTCAAATGCCCTCCCATGTTCTCGATCTCCTCTTCCAATACCCTAACTGACCTCTTCTCCGTACCCTTAAATATCATGTGCTCGAGGAAATGTGCAGTACCGTTCGTCTCATCGGTCTCGAACCTGCTCCCAGCATCGATCCACACGCCAACCGTGGCAGTGCGAGACGCCAAGTTCGACTCAGTCGCGATCCTGAGTCCATTAGGCAGAGTCGTTACGCGAGTTTCAGGAGCTGAAAGGATTTTTGTGTGATCAACGAGGACTGGGTGAGGGGAGGCGTGCTGGATGAACCTAGGATCGGAGTTGTCGAGTCGCTTGAGCTTCGCTTTCACTGCTTCTGCGAGTCGATCGTAGACCATGACATTCGGAGCTGGAGGTGATGGTAAATCTGCGACGGCGGGAGAAGTCGATGCAGATCGACTGGATTGCAGGAGAGCGCGGGTAGAGGGACATGATGATTTATGGGATCTCCGCGCAAGGGTTAAGAGCTGCCTAATCGCCATGGCTATGGCCTCTCAAGTTTCTAGGGTTAGGGTAATGGACTTGGAGAGTTTACAGAGAAGATGGAGGAGGATTCGAGGGAGATAAACAAACAACAGGAGAGCAGAAAAATAAGAGTTTGGACTTTGGAGCGGTTTGCGGAACACGGGTGAAAAAATCGGCCCGAACAACCAGATGAAATTCGATTTTGGTATGGCGATTACACTTCGCCCCGGTCCGTAAACTGGACGGTAGAAAATGGGTCAAGCTTAAGCTCAACTAGGCTGCCAAAAGCACGGGCCACCCGACTTACACCTCTACTTATCCGTCTTTTTGAGAGATCGATGTTTGAGGGGCTGACCAGCGAACGGGCCGGGGATTAAGTGATGGGACCTACATTGGTTGATCAACTGCTGGGACCTACATTCTTGCCCAACCTAATAAACGTGATTTAGAACCTGGATTAGGGGCTCAATATTCAAGTCCCGGAAAGTGGACTTAGCACCACAAGGGCAATAGCCTAGGCCCATGCCCGGCCCAATACAAATCCCGGGCCTGAAATGTAATGTAGGCACGCACTCAGGCCGCGCTGGTTTGTACTTTGATCTTACTTCTAACAAAATGCATTAATATAAATATATAAGTAGTGAATGACACATAATCGAATCAATAATGTTAAATTTATATTTATTAAAATTTTAAGAAATATTTATTTCAAAAAATAGTTTTTCAATAATTTTTATAATATAGTAATGATACATAGAGGGTTAATGATTAACTAAGATTGATAGAATGTAGGCAGAAGTGGCTATGGATAACCACTATTGTATTTTCTGCATTTTTTAGTAGGGGTGAGCATAATTCAGTTATAACCGAAAAATCGAACCAAAATTTTGGTTTCGGTTTAATCGGTTCGATATATTCGATTTTGTATATTTTGGTTACCATATTTGCTAAATCGGTTAACCAAAAAAACCGATTTAGTTTTATAATTATATATTTTTAATATATTTATATTATGATTTTATATTATATTATACATGGAAGATCGAACACGAAAGTCGGAACATCTATATTTCATACATAACTTAAGAACATACCATAATAAGCAATAATGTATTGTGGTAATACACTATTACGTATTAGACACGATCACGAAAAGTCCAAAACAGGAAAATAAAAAGAAAACTCTTCGTCTTCCCTTTTCCGCACTATGGCGCTTCCACTTCTAGACTTCCAGTTCCAGACTCAATGGCCAAGAGCAAACCAGAGAGGCAGAGACCTGACTCCAGAGTCGAGAATCCTCCCAAGTCCCAGCCCGGCAGCCCAGTAGCTCTAGGCATTCTGCACTCAGGCAGACTTCTGACTGCCTCAGACTCAGACTTAGTTCCGTTGCACTATTCCAGCCTTCCTTCCTCAATCTTCTCTAAGTTCTCTTAATTGTCGATTGTCGTGTCGTGCTGTCGTCAATCGTCGTTCTTCTTCTTCTTCAGTCTTCACCGCCAATTACAGGCCTTATAGGCGTACAACAGCCAATATTTCGTCTCCAAAAGTCCATAGTCCAGAGTCTTGAGTCCCGACTGTCGTTGAGACTAACCAAAAATTAAATAACAAAACAATATTTCGGTTCTAACCGAAAAAATTTGGTTCGGTTTGTTCGGTTTTCAAATATTTCGGTTTCAATTCAGTTTATCATATAGCTAATTCGACTTTTAGAATTTTGTTTTTTTTTGTTCGATTTTGAACCAAACAAACCGAATGCTCACCCTTATTTTTTATGAATTGATTAAAAATGGTTGTAGTGGGTTCTGGGCTTTAGCAGCAACTTCTCAAAAAATGCCACATGTCTAGCTTTCTAGAAAAACGAGAAGGTCATATGTTTGAATGGTGGGGGGTTGTAGCCTATTAGTGGGTTGTGGGCTTTAGTAGGAATTTCTCATAAATTGTGGGCCTTAATATGATAATTATACAATATTAGATAGACTTGTTCATGGGTTGGGCTTGGCTTTTACCAAAATTTCAATGGACCCGACTTGAAGCCCGAGCCCGACATAGTGTAAAGTTAGGCCCAAAGCCCGGCCTGTGAATAGGTCTAATATTAGATATTTGCACAAATGTTTTCAAATTTTTTTTTTGTGAACTGTTGTACTTTTGTGTATTTTCATCTTTTTTTTATTAATCTTTAATTATGACATCAAGGCTTGACACAATTGGCCCAAAAGGTTCAATTGTTGGCTTGCCACCAAATAGGAAAACAGCTTTGTTTTCAAGATGGTTTTAAATTTATATTTTATTTCCATCATCAATAAAAACAATTATTTTTTATATACCACCAAACAGGAAAACAATTTCACTTTTGGATTAGTTTTTTAGATTTTGTATTTTGTTGAATGCTTGTTGATGGAGGGTGATTCGACTTGACCTCATAATAGGGGGACACGTGGACATGACTCGACATAAGTGACAACTCGACATGACAGCCTGGTCGCAACTCGGCGTGATGAGCTCGCAGGAGCCAAGCCTGACAGCTCGGCACGGGCAGCAACTCGCTACAAGGTAGTATTTAGGTTACCTCGAGCTCTCTCCCACTAGGGGAGCGACTCAAGCTCCTCCCAAGTAAAGAGCCCTCGAGCTCCCCCTCAGTGAGGAGCCCCCAAACTCCTCTTCAGTAAGGAGCCTTCGAGCTCCCCCTCAAGAAGGGAGCACCCCGATCTAAGATCCCTAGGCAAGGGACATCCCGAACTGAAGACACTTTGGGTAAGCTCGCCAGTAGGCTCCTGCCCAAGCCTAAGTAGCAAACTCAGACTTATTTCGGGCAGAAGCACCTCGATATGTCAACAGTAGCTCGGTACCAGGTAACTCGGTATATCACCTGACAACCGTACCTGCCAGATCTGGAGACTGCACCCACGTCTCTGGCCAGGCGGCATCGTGCCTGCCAGGCTCCGACAAGCGTCCCCTGTTTGGCAGGGCCATACCCTGTAACGATTACCTGCGCCCACTACCTCAGGTCTAACAATAACAGTTGCATGCTGCTGCCGAAGCAGAGTATCAATGGCGGTTACGCCAGAATTGACAGGGCATCAGTATAAAAAGGCCCCGATCCCCAGGAGACAAAGGTAATTTTGATCCCACGCTATCTGCACTCTTAGCTCTCCTTGTATTCTCTGCAATTCTCTCTCAGAGTTCTAACTTGACCGTCAGAGTGTTCCCGCCGGGCGAGCTCCCTGGGAATCCTTCACTGTTTTCTCTATCTCAGGTGCTGTCCGCCGCCAGGTAGGAGCCAGGCCACCGCCAGCTAGGAGTGACCGGATCGCACTACATCACTTGTTTATCGTGTTTAATTTTTAAGGTGATTTATATAAAATATTAGAAATGTGTCTAAATATTTTCTATAAAAATTTTAAATTTTTTCATATTTCTTGTATTTTTATCTTTTTAATTATTGTTGTTTAATTATGAGATCAAGGGTTGACACATATGACCCAAAAACGTCGAACTGTTGACTTGCCACCATGAAAATAATTTCATTTTTGCATTGGTTTTAAAATTTCTATTTTATTTCCAACATCAATAAAAATAATTATTATTTATCATACTTATTTTTCTTTAAAATGACTAATATAAAATATAAGATAAGTGTCTAAATGTTTTTTACAATATTTTTTTGTATTATTACATACTGTTTTTGTGTTTTTTTATCTATTTTCATTTTTTATATTTACCTATGATATCAAAGGAGGAAGTGGTCTTTCATTTGTTCCCTCACTCCAAAGATCTTGGAAGAAAAAGTCTTTCAAAACTATTTATGTTTGTTTGAAACAAAGCGGTTAGTCCCTTTAAAGCAACTTCAATGAACACTTCTCAAATGCACTCCCTCTTCAATAAATAGGGTTGTTATTTATAGATGAGAGGTTGAATCTTTTCCTTCAAGTTTTATGATGAAAATGAATATATTATCTTTGCAATCTTTCAACGACAATGTTGTCTTTATGTCTTTCAGTCAAAGTCTTAAGTAACTTTTGGTGATAGTGCTGCCTTTATATCTTTTAATGTCTTTATGTCAATCCCCTACTCTTTTTTAGGTATTATTTCTTTTTGTATTTGTTTATAGGATATTGTGGTGAATCTTTTCACGAGATCTTTTAACAATTGTCTTGGTTGCTATAGCCAAACATTGAAATAAAGCTAATTCGAATATGGATCTTTCTCCATTGTTGATGGCCTTTATTTCCATCTAGTGGGGTGGGGAGTGTGGAGAGGGGGATATACATGGAGGGGTAATATATAAGTGGGGTTTATGGACCATGGGGGGCCATGGCTCCCCTAGGTTGGTTCCGCCCTTGTTGCTTTCCACATGAATTACATAATTCCTATAGGATATCTCCTTCTAATAGGGTTGTTTATTTAGGATGCTAGTTAGATAAAACTTATCTCATCATTTGACTTTTTATTGCAAGGAAGAACATTAGAATTTCATCAATGTATACTATAATAAAGCTAGTATATGAGATAAATATTTCATTCATTCTTCTTTGGAAGTCTAACAAGACATTTTTTTTACCCCAAATGACATAACATTCCACACAAAGTCTCATCCATTTCATTGTATTGTTTAATGCCTTATAGTTTATTATTAATTTATGGGCTCTTCTTTCTATTTTAGACGAATTTTTCCACATGAAATGTTGCACAACTCCATGGGGGTTTATTGGGTCTGATTAAACCCTTATTTAATAATTATTGATTTTTTATTTTATGCATATTTTTAATAGCCTGCTAGTTATTTAAAAAGATCTAGCTTTTGTGGGAATTTGGTTTTATTGAAATTATCTTCATATGAAAATCCTTCAAAATGAGATTGTCTATACTAGAATATATTAACAACTTTAGCACATGTCTCTCTTTTCAACTTCTTTTGAAAGTCTTATATTTCTTTCTTTACCATAGGCTTGTCTAAGGCTCTCATTACTCTCTCCAATTGTATTTTTTTAAGGTTTGTTGTAAATATGACCTTATGCCCTAAGTTTTGTCTCAACCATCTAGTTCGATTGTTTTGGGTTTATCACAATTCAAATGTGACCTTCCTGCATTTTATGCTGATAGTTGTGAACATCCCAATTGTTTTGGG